GCTTAGACTTCAGAGTAATACGACAAGTGTATAATATGAACAGAATTAATATAAGATTCATATACGTATCCTCAATGGGATTTCATAAAACTCCGGGTTGTATGGATTATCATATTAATGAAGCCCTTTCAGGTCTGTGTGATGTATTCATTCCGTACAACTCAGAGTTGTGGAATTTGTAGTGCTGGAGCCTTTTCATTTTTATCTGCTGCCTACATTAGCCATAACTCAGAGTTTTATATGAGATCATACTGCCTTTTTAATTTTGTGTTCTCTCTTCATTCGTTACAACTCAAAGTTTTGTGGTATTTTGCATCGCCGAAGCCTTTGTAATTTTGTGTTCTCTCTTCATTCGTTACAACTCAAAGTTTTATGGTATTTTGCCGAAGACTTTTCAGTTTTGTAAGGCTGGTTCTCTCCCTTGCAACATACGGGTATCTGAGTCAATGTTGTTTATCTTGTTGTCAAGGGCCGGTTAATAGTATTCATTAATGGTGTCGGAATTCCGTTTGTGTAACAGATTTCGATGATAAATAATGGCTCATTTTATGGCTGAAATACGTATAATGCAAATTGCTGTGTGCCAAAAGCGTCTCTTGAAACTTTAACACTTCGATTTTTCACCTGAACGAAAGATGTCACGTTTTCAGCTGAGAAACGCACTGGAAAAAAAAGGTTTTATTCACGTAATATTCTAAACACCATCCATCTATTTTCAATTTTTATTTATAAATCCCAACGACGTTTTCCTTCTTATAATAGCAAAATCTGAATACTCCCAAATTATCGCTGGTATTTACTTAAAACTGTCATAGAAAATTGAAACAAACTCTTGTCGTCATTAGAACTTGTCTTGTAGACAATTCCTACTTACTGAGTTCCTGTTGTCAGGCATGTCAGACGGTATGTCTTGTACTAAATATAGATAAGGTTTGATTCCCTTTTTCTGTGTCAATTTCGGAACGGGTTTTAGTTTAAACAATGTTTATTCAGATAAATCAACATTAAACCATATTATACAAATGAAATAAATATTAAGGATTCAGAAACAAGCAATTTGCTTTTACAAATCTGTCTCCTTTTACAAAAATAATACACTTATTGAACAATACATAAATATAATTACTGGCATGCTCTGTAATAAATATATGAATATGAAAATGAAAAAGGTGGAAAATACTTAAGAGAAGAAGAAAAAAAAAAGTAAACATGAACTTTTGTAATGTATACAGTGTGAAATGCTTGGGTTCCTATTGAATGATGAAGCATTAACATCAAGGGTTAAAACGTTTACTTTTAATAATATATTTCTGCACCAAACTAAATAAAAGACTATTTTGCTCATCTGAAAGTACCGTTGATCCAAAAAGCAAAGTTTTTGTGTCAACTTGGACAGGAAGAACTGAAACAGAATCTAATAGTTCATGTCTTAAATCAGTGTATATGGGACAAGATAACAGGAAGTGAGAATTTGTTTCTACATCACCACAACGACAATTTGGAGAGTCTACTAAATTACGAAGGAATAGGTGAGAATTCAATGAACTTGAATCCATTCTTAGCGAGCATGAAGAATTTGACCAAAACGATATCCTGTATAATAATACGTTGGGGCCTTACTATTTTGGGTACGAATTTGGTTTTTGAATAATGATAGAGATTCACATTTTCTTATGTTTAAGTTAAGAGTGTTCCATAGTTTTGTTGTTGCTGAGATGAAATATTCAGAATATAAACGGGTCCGTGTGTTGACTTGTGAAATATTATTTCTTTGTCTTGTGTTGTGGTCATGTCTACTTCCTACTGAATCGGCCAATAAGTCTCTTAAATACTCAGGAGTTTTATTATTCAAAATTTTGTGATAATGAATTAGTCTATGATTGCGTCGTCTTTCAGATAATTTTTCCCATCGAGTTTCAACGTATAAATTTTTAATACTGGTAAGTTTAGTACCGGCTTCCCCAATACGAACCGGGTTTTATTAGCGTTTGTGTCGCCTGATCTTGTACAGTTTTGTCTTGTGTTTACATTTGGTATAACTCGGATTTTATAAGACTCACTGAAAGCTTCTCTTAGTTTTTTCTGCCGTCTACACTCGAAATATCTCAGTGTGTTATGGGAATTCGTATGGCTGAAGCCTTTTCAATTTTGTCTACTGTCTGCATTCTGTAAAACTCAGGTGGGTTTGAGAAAGTTCGTATTCCTGAAGCTTTTTAGTTTTGTCTGCTCTCTACGGTCGTTATAACTCAGGATTTTATGGTAGTTCGTACTGGGGAAGCCGGTAGTTCGTATTGGGGAAGCCGGTAGTTTGTAATGGGGAAGCCGGTAGTTCGTATTGAGGAAGCCGGTAGTTCGTATTGGGGAAGCCGGTAGATCGTAATGGGGAAGCCGGTAGTTCGTATTGGGGAAGCCGGTAGTCCGTATTAGGGAAGCCGGTAGTTCGTATTGGGGAAGCCGGTAGTTCGTATTGGGGAAGCCGGTAGTTCGTAATGGGTAAGCCGGTAGTTCGTATTGGGGAAGCCGGTAGTTCGTATTGGGGAAGCCGGTAGTTCGTATTGGGGAAGCCGGTAGTTCGTAATGGGGAAGCCGGTAGTTCGTATTGGGGAAGCCGGTAGTTCGTATTGGGGAGGCCAGTAGTTCGTATTGGGGAAGCGGTAGTTCGTATTGGGGAAGCAGGTAGTTCGTAATGGGGAAGCCGGTAGTTCGTAATAGGGAAGCCTTTTCAGTTTTTTCTGTTAGTTACATTCGTCATTGCAGTTAACATTTGATGTCTTTATTTTGGCTGCATTTATAACGTATTGGTTTAATTTGTGATTTTTTTGGATTCCGATTTTTCGCTGATGCAAATTGTTTTCGTCACTGTTATACAATAAATGGACATCAATCATCTATTTCCTTGTAAAACGCGATATGCAAAAAACATTGATATCAAACCAGTCTGTGTTTGCATATATGTATGATACAAAGCTATACAAACCAGTCTGCGGCTTTCCTATATGCCTATATATAGGATACAAAGCTATACATACCAGTCTGTGGCTTTCCTATATGCATGTATGATACACAGCTATACATACCAGTCTGTGGTTTCCTATATGTATGATACAAAGCTATACAAACCAGTGTAAGTTAAAAAGAAAACGATATCAACCTTGGTATTGTAGATTTGATCTTTAGTTATGAATTTCTTCCGCGTTATTAATTTTCTTTTTAATTAGAAATATGCTTGCAAACTAAATATTATTGTTATATACATATACACATTCATGGATCTACAATTTGTCGATACCTGTATCTTGGCATTGCACAAGATCATGTTTTTCTCTGACTGTTTATGACGTCTTTACACTAAATCCATTGGATGTTGGATGTGTACGGATTGATAATTTAGTCTTAGATGCATGATTTTTTTTATTAGTTGTTAGTGGCTTTGAACTAGCTGTCAGTAACTGCGAGTACTCTCAGATCTGTACTTAGTGTCTTTTTGTTGTTTGGATGTACAAGTACCCGGCCACGTCCACTTGTATTTGTAGTATTTGTATTTTTATCCATCTGATGAGTTAAGCCTCTTTCAACTGATTTTTATAGTTCGTTCTTATGTTGTACTGTTACACCACTGTCCCAGGTTAGGGGGAGGGTTGGGATCCCGCTAACATGTTTAACCCCGCCACATTCTGTATATATGTGCCTGTCCCAAGTCAGGAGCCTGTAATTCAGTGGTTGTCGTTTGTTTATGTGTTACATATTTGTTATTCGTTCATTTTTTGTACATAAATTAGGCCGTTAGTTTTCTCGTTTGAATTGTTTTACATTGTCATTTCGGGGCCTTTTATAGCTGACTGTGCGGTATGGGCTTTGCTCATTGTTGAAGGCCGTACGGTGACCTATAGTTGTTAATTTCTGTGTCATTTGGTCTCTTGTGGAGAGTTGTCTCATTGCCAATCATACCACATCTTTTTTATATTGCGTTACATGTAGTGTTTTGTTTACATATCGCAGTGTATTCGTTGCTCAAACAATATGCATCTGGAACCGAGATCTGAACACAATATTTAATCAGATTAAAAGTACAAAGCCGACAGATTATTTAACCTACAATTTAACCACTATTTGTCTTGTTTGCTGTTTTGAAAAAAAAGTGATTTAGGGAAGTTACAAAAAATCTCATGAAAGATAATAATCTATGAACATCCGGGTTCTCAGAACACATCTTACTAAAAAAATATAATCTTACAAAGTACATAAGACAGTCATGTGTTTAAAGGTCAAAATTTAAAACTTCCTCATGGTTTACGTGTTAAGATAAACTTAGAAGAAATAAAAGGAAAATATTTTGCATTACTGTATAATCAAATGTCATTTTTTGTTCTTGAACTTTTGTTACCATTTGGTTAGTGTGGTCATATCCTAAAAATATACCATATTATGACTGATTTGCTACACAGAGATCCACCGAAAAATATTCTTACAATGTTAAACTTTTTTCTTTTTCATGATAGCCCATTTTGACTCCTGATTTTCACAGGTTAACCTTGAATTTATTCATTAAGTATAACTTGTAAAGATGAACATACGCATGGAACGCTTTGGCAATTGTTATAAGTTTGTATTTAAATTGAATGTAATGATAATAAAAGCAGATATAGGGTATACGTCAATGGGACAGCAACCCCCAAAACACACGGATACCCCCCCCCCCCCCCAAAAAAAAAATTGAACGCAGGAAAGATATTTGTTTCAATCTTATTCACGATTATTTTGCTTTCTCGATTCTTAGAGTCTTCACAGAGAAATAGGCAATCCTGGATATGTAAAAACGTGGATAAACAATTGTACGTCCTTACCCGAGAATGATGATAGTTTTTGTAGTGTAATCTATTTATTTGTTTTATAATGTTGTGATTCTATTGTAAGTCAATACCACTACACATTCAATATTATTACCCTTTAACGGGCTATATTTAATTACCTACTGAATCACATGTTTCCATCATCAATTAAAATCAGCTGTTCAATCGATTGTATCACATTATAAAGAAAGGCTTTCCTGTCCATCGTATATAAAAACCAGGTATACAAATATCCTCGGGAACATATTGATTCGGATACATCATTTTGTAAAAAAGATAAACCACGCATTTAATACTGTATAGGTTTGATTGGGAAAGCAGCAATAAGATGCTTGTCAATACTGAATTATGATTGGTTGATTTTAGCGTTGTATCCCAGACTACCAAGAAAATATTAGCATATTAAAGACGACCCGTTTGATGCGTTTGTTAACACACTGATCAGTTAAATTGAGATAGTTAACATAACATAAATGCTATCTAAGTAATGCGGTGAGAGGGGAAGGATTAAAAGTATTATAAGTACGGAAAACGAGGCTTGATATTTTAACGGTGAGTGTATTCCGCTAAAATACATCCGCTAAACGACGACACGCAGTAATACACACAAATCAATGTAGTCAGTACATTGACTTTTATTTATATTGCTGATTTTATTGATACAGGAACATTTACTTGGGAATACTGATGATAACAAGCTATTTATTTTCTGTTACAAATATGCATTGTAATTATTGAAGATAGGTTTATTATATTAAACTGAAGACGGATCCAATATGTCGGAAAAAGGAAGTGATTTTCCTGAGCTTGTTGAATTAAATGTTGGTGGTGTATTTTACACAACTTACCTTTCTACATTAACCAAGGAAAAAGATTCATTACTCGGACAAATGTTTAATGGTTCATCAAAAACAAAAATTGTCAAGGACAGCAAAGGAAAATATTTTATTGACAGGGATGGCGTTCTCTTTCGGTATGTACTTGATTATTTGAGAAACCAGAAACTAACATTACCAGAAAATTTTCATGAAAAAGAAAGACTTAAACAGGAAGCAGAATACTATCAGTTACCAAGTTTAGCAAAGTCAATAACCATATCACTTCCAAAACTTGCTAGCATATCCAATCGCATTCCACCAATCGCTAATAGTAACTCGCTCTCTCCTATATCGGGGGAGAGCAGGGTACCAGCATACATAACTCTTGGATACAGAGGAACTTTTGCATTTGGCCGTGACGGATTGGCTGACGTAAAATTCCGAAAATTAAGTAGGATTATTGTTTGCGGCAAAGTTTCTGTGTGTCGAGAGGTTTTCAAAGACACTTTAAATGAATCCCGAGATCCAGATCGCGGTGTCCAGGACAGATACACTGCGCGATTCTTTCTAAAGCATACGTACTTGGAGCAGGCTTTAGACCAACTTGCAGAAGAAGGGTTCAAATTAGTTGGGTGTTGTGGATCAGGAACTAACAACGTTGGAGAGGTAAAAGCCGGAATGGATACGGAGGAGGCCCGATGGCAACACTATAACGAATTTATCTTTGAAAGATATTAAATCGGGCAACGATATTTGTGATGATCAACGAAATATGTCTGGAGAAAACCGTTGATCCGTGCATATTTGTTGATCAAATGAAATATATGACTAAGAGTAAACCGTTGATCTGTGTGTATTTGTTGATCAACGACATGTGACTAGGAGAAAACCTTTGATCCGTGTGTATATGTTACTCTAAAAAATAATATGTTAACAGCTTCTAGTCCAGTAGTCGTTTATAGATCATAATTTTTGCAGGTGTAAAATAATTGTTATATTGTCTTTTGGTGTCTTTCATTTCAAGAAACAGTAACGGTAAGCTTTGTAACATCAGCTATATAGTAACTCTATTCATGTTATCAGAAAGTACATTTTACACAATTTACGTTTATATATTAGCATACTTTATGCAATAAAATATTCACTTTTCATGAAATATTGTTTTCAAAAGTATAAAACAGGTCTATGATGAAACTACTGAGTTTAGAATTTGCCTGTCGTTATTATGTAACACACTTGGTGGGATAATTATTTCTGATTGTAATTCTAGAATGGAACTCTCCTGTGACGGTGATAAATAAAGTCATGATTAGGTATGACATATTATTGTGACATCCTTAATCTCTGTGGAGGTCTTATTTAATAGAATGGAATAATTATCAAACATGGTTTAACAAGGGAGTAGTCATTTGTTTAAATATTCAAATTTTATCACAAATATGAATAATTATAAAAAAAACCTAGACTACGTGCTTATTACAATTCTATTTACATATTGTTTTTGAATCGTTAGGACGTTGATGCATGGTAGAAATATTTCATTTTGTTTTTAATTTCTAATAAAAAAAACCAAAACATTAACTTCCAAAGATATTGTGTCATTTAAAAAATTTCTTAAAGTATGAACATAATAACATGTTTAGTTGAATATGGAATTTTATAATGTAATGACATTCGAACTGAAATGGCCAGCTGAAATCACTACTTTCTTTTCGGTAAGAATATTAGCATAATAAATTTGTTAGAAAATGAGATTTTTAAGCTATTTTAGCACTTTCAATTTCCAAGCAGAAATGCTGTACTTATAATTATACTGTTTAAGGCTCAGTATCTTTAAAATGTATTCAAATGATTTGGTACACGTAGCTCTAGAATGGTATGCTATACCAAATGATTTGATACACGTAGCTCTAGAATGGTATCCTATACCATGTTGCTAGGATGGTTGTATAAACCAATGCAAGTTGACGTATGTGCTATCGTGGTCTATGATTATAATTATAACTGGGTTCAGTCAACACACTGTAGTTCTGTTCTCTCAGACCGGTACACAATGGCACTCGAGAGAACTCGAAGAAATGTCTTTTTAGTTATATGTGTTACTGTTCTTTAACCTATAATCTACATAGCTCTTTATTCATATGAAATAAAACAATGTTCAAATAGAAGAACAATTGTGGAGGTGACAGGAGTGCTATTTATACAAATACAAACGAAAGGCATAAATACAATTGACAATTTTACATATTTTTTTCTGTTAATCAGGAGGTCTGACTCCTTTATATTTTAGACGAATGAATTACCTAGGGTCATCTCTGATAATCTATCAATACAAAACACTTATCGTTTAACACCCACTTTTTCATTGTTACAAGATTAAAATAAATGGTACTCAATGGTACAAGTACTTGGAGGAAGTTGGAGCCTTAAATTGAACGTTATGATCTCCTTATAATCTCGGACGAGCTTTCGGTCAACACAATAGTTTTCTAAATACAAAATAAATTGAAATCGTAGTAGATTTATTTGACAGTATTGAGCTTCTGTTAATTTTAACTTCCTTAACATTTCAATTTTATTTTCGTCCAACTGCTATGAATTATACTTTCCTTTTTTTCAAGGAAAACCCAAATTTTCCGTTTTACTCAATCAGTTCCTGCTAAAAGAAATTTCTGTGGAGTTTGTAAATACCAGTTTTTGTTCTTCTAAGATTTTAATTAGTGTTTATACTTTTAAGTCAACGCCAAATTGAAGATGATTAAACAATAACTTCTTGAAAATAAACATTACAACCGTAAGAATAAAACATCGTTAGAGATAATATTTACCGGGATATCTAAACATACAGCAATTTATTCTGTCTAGATGTAATCATTCTAGAACCCATACTGCCATTGACTGCCATTTACATTACTATAGTGTTCATCGTCTTATCTTAACGGTTTGTTTCTCAACAATAACCGTAATCATTCTACCACCGTTGATTTTTAAAAGAGAAATCGATAGAAGCGAGCCTGGTTTTATTGATAACCCGTTTCAGAGAAAAAATTATTGGCATTTTTCACAGTAACTTTGTGATAAATATGAAATCTGAGCAAATCCAATTTCGTGAAAATTGCATTCTCTTTCAAAATCATTAGGTATTTTATTCACTGTTTCTATGGGAACCAGAAAACGTGATTACCGCTCTATATGATAAAACAGAAATTATATACTGGTCATTAAACAGAATGGGCGACTTAATTGTTATCTAATATAAAAACAAAACACTAAATTGTGCAAAACCAATTTATATACATACAAAAGACCGAAATGATATGAATCAAATGTGAAACACGACCAAAGTAATCGTAGGATTGCAATTGGGGAATTCACTGGAGTTAAGTCAAGCGAATGAGTCCTGTCTAAAACACACGAGGCGAAACTAAAAAAACACAGCTAAATATATATTTACTCTTTCTTTAATAAATATTTTATTAGTATTGTAGTATTGTTGATCAGTCTAAGAAATATATGTACTGGGAAATTGATTAAAAAAAGGTCATGTTTTATTAGGGTTTCTGAGAATTTGTTATTATGCAAATAATAATTTTAAAATATGTAACGTTTCATATAAACACTGGAATGAGGTGTTTTTTTTTTTGTCGACAATACTTAAGAAATCATTTGTTTACTAGTTGAAGATTCTTTTCCACATAGGAGCGAGCAACTTGTTTGTTTTTGAAGACCGTCTAGATTTCTTATTTATTTTATTTTTCTGTCGCTGGATTGTCATCTTCTTGATATATATATTCTCAACCTTTTTTTCATTTATGGTAATTGAGAATAGGAGGAAGGTACATGTTTTGGTGAAAAAGTATATATCTCTAGTTTAGTAGGAAATTAAAAGGCAATTTTTTTTTAAAAGAAATTCATAAGGTCGGTTCAGAGCAGTACTCGTTTTTAAACAATACACTAAATTGTGCAAAACCAATTTAATACATACAAGAGAGAGATATGAAATGGTCTATATCGTTTTATAAAAACACAAATATGAGGTGGATGATTACTCAAGTTAATCTGTTATCCTCTCTGTGTATTACTGTAGTTAGTGAACTATTTAAAATCTACATGTACCAAAACAAACAATAAAGGACAAAGACTTCCGGAAGAAAATTTATTCAATTTCCCAAGGATATTTTATAAAACATTTACCCGAATACAATCAATACATTCTTCCGCATACGTTGTAGTTGTAAACATACACCTTTTCGTTATAAAATGAGATTTTAGATACGTCCGGTTTCACTGGATACACAAATATCTTCTATTCATAGTTCGTATTACATTGTTTTTATTAAATTTTCATGTAATATTGATGAATTTAAAACACAAAGTCTGATAACTACTTGACATGCAATAAGCTTCTAACAGATCAAACAAACCTTGCTAGCTAGGGATACGATACTTGCAGGTTTTATGTGCATTTAGATTGCTATAACAGTCTAAGGACAATTTGTAAGATCGATGAATTTTCCAAACAAAAAAATTATTTCAGATTCTAGGTCGAATGTAATTATTATGTAAAAATTAAATACTGATCAAAGTAAACACATTGAAATGAAGTTTTAAATGAATATTTATTCAATGGTCAAATTCATGGGTGATAGAAAATATCCTGTATTGATATGCAAGTCAATAAAGAAATAGTGATCCTAATGATTTTATGTGCATCACATAGATTAAAACCGATTTTCAATCCAACCAATCTGTCTCCATGTCATTGCTGCGGATTTTAAGACAGACAGAATTCTGAATAAAAGGCTTAAATAGAATCATGTAGTTCCTTACATCCATGTAATTTGGTATCTGGTCGATATTTATCTCATTGACAATCATACCACATCCCCCTTTTTATATGTGAAAATAACTTGCAGAAATATAAAAAAAAAACACGATTTGAATCCAGTATCTACCTGCCTTAAATATAAAAAAAGTGAGGCCGGTTCACTCATTAAGATAAATACATTTGTATCCGAATGAATAGTTCCTATTTTTAATTTTTTCATAGTAAAACTTACTATTCCAAGTTTTAGCTTTCTAAAAAAAGCTTTGGAGTACTTCCCTGTATCATACTTTGAAGTAAGATGTGGTTTATGCGGTTGTTTAAGTATAGGAAATTTGGTATTTAATTCCTTTGCATTTAACTGTTGTATTATAGTCCTGTATTAGATGGGACGTATTCTGGTATACTGAAGTTTGTCCAAGAATACTTCCTACAAAAACTCAAATATGCTTTAACCATTTCCCTCATAACTTGAACGGAACATAAGGTTTGATAGAAGAAATCTTCATTTAGATTTTAAAATGCTTTGGTGTTGTCATTCAAGAGATACCGATTGATTTTGAAAACTTATAATTTGTCATTCCACAATTATTGGCTTTTGACGGTCAGATTAATAAAAGGTAAAAGCTTACATGCCATGCACTAGATCTAGTATGCTTGGATCAATTTACTATAATATTTTCACGGTTGCTGGTATTGCTCAATCTATACTCGCATTGTATTTTGAAAATTTTGTCGCTCCACACTTTTAAAGTCATTTTTGACGCAATATTTATTTGCATATAGATATCCTCATGCATGTTTTCCTACACAGCCATTTTACTAACTTGTTATATGAGAGTATTCGATAATATTCCAGATCATTTTCACAAAAATTCTAATGCAAAATTTAAGGGTATCATGTAGTCATAACATATCGGTATTTTAATATATTATTTGTTTTTTATGACAAAATTCTTGAATATCATTTGCAATAATATGTATATTAAGTGAAGGTGTATATGTATATAAATGTATAGTCTGATGAGCAATAATACCGGAATGTATATTAAATGAAGGTGTATATGTATATACATGTATAGTCAGATGAACAATAAGAAACTTATTCATCTTTGTCCCTCCTCTTCCTTATCAATATTGACGCGACATTATATAGCAAGTCAAACCATTAAAGGCAAACTTATTCAATGGTCGGGTATCGGATCGGATCTTCAATACCCATACTGTAATTTTCTACGTATTCAAGATCTTCTACTGTCTGGAGTATGTTCCCAATTCTATATCTCAAAAATATTCATATTCTAGCCAATAGCATCTTTCCCACATCATAA